GTTTCTCTTAGTTCTGGCTCTGTATTCTTTTTGTCGCTGTAGAGAAATCCAACTGATTTTTGTATGTTGATCTTGTATCCTGCTACTTTGCTGAATTGGTCAACTACATCCAATAGTTTTGTTGCTGAGTATTTAGGGTTTTCTAAGTATACTATCATGTCATTGGCATAGGTGGATAATTTTACCTCCTCGTTGCCTATTTGGATACCTTTCATTCCCTTCTCTTGTCTTATTGCTGTTGCTAAGATTTCCAAAACAATGTTGAATAAGAGAGGTGATAGTGGGCATCCTTGCCTAGTTCCTGTTCTTAAAAGGAATGCCTTTACCTCTCTGCATTAAGAATAATGTTTGCTCTTGGGTCTTGATAAATACTTTTTACTATGTTGAAGAAATTCCCCTCTAATCCTATTTTGTTGAGTGCTTTAATCAGGAAAGTGTGTTGGATTTTATCGAAGGCTTTTTCTGCATCAATTGATAGGACCATATGGTTCTTGTTCTTTGCCTTGTTAATGTGATGAATTACATTAATTGTTTTCCTTATGTTGAACCATCCTTGCATACCTGTTATGAATCCCACTTGGTCATGGTGAATTATTTTTTTATGTATCGTTGGATTCTATTTGCCAGTATTTTATTCAGGATTTTTGCATCAATATTCATGAGAGATATTGGCCTATAGTTTTCTATTTTGGTGGTGGTGTCTTTTCCTGGCTTTGGTATCAAAGATATGTTTGCTTCATAGAATGAATCTGGGAGGGTTCCATCTTCTTCTATTTTCTGAAATAATTTATGTAGAATTGGCAACAGTTCTTCTCTGAATGTTTTATAAAATTCACTTGTAAAACCATCTGGTCCAGGGCTTTTCTTGGACAGGGTTTATGTTTTAAAGCATGCAAAGTACTTGAAAATATATTAAATATAATTAAAAGAAGTTGTCATTTGGTCTATTCAAACTCTTGGCAACACTCAGTATACCTGAGTATAATTATGGCCCTCAGTATATCTGAGTGGGGTTATGCCACCCAGTATGTCTAACTATGGCATCCAGTATAGCTGAGTGTAACCATGTGCCATGCAATTCTCAAGAACTGATTTTTCAGAAATGGATTGCCAGGCTTTTCTTCTGACTTGTCTTTAGGTGCACTCAAACATCTAACTTTTCCACTGATAACCAACTGAGTTAACCATTTGTACCATCCAAGAACTCTGAAATACGTTTTTTATGTTGTTATGTGCCATAGAGTCGCCTGCGACTCATAGAGACCCTATGTACAACAGCTTTAAACCCTGCTCTATCCTGTGCCTGTCTCACTGGCTCTGACACATCTACCTCCATTACCCCAGTCACTGAATCAATCCATCTTATTGAGGGTCTTCCTCTCCTCTCAAATATGACATCCCTCTCCAAGGACTGGTCCCTCCTTTCAACATGTCCAAAGTATGTCAGATGATACTTCAGAATCCTTGCCTCCAAGGAGCATCCTGGTTTAACCCTCTCTGAGACAAACCTATTCATTCTCTGAGTGGTCCATGATATATTCAATACTCTTCTTCAACACCATAATGTAAAGGCATCAATTCTCCTTCTATCATCCCTAGTCATTGTCTAGCTCTCTGATTCATAGAAAGTGATGGCAAAGACCATGGCCTGTATCAGGTGCATCTTAGTCTCCAGACTGACATCGTTGTTCTTCAGTATTTTAGAGAGGTGTCTAACAGCAGATTTCCCCATCATAATATGTCCTTTAAGTTCCTGGCTGCTGGTGCCAAGAATGTTGATTGTGGAGCTAAGTAAACTAATGTTGTTGTGTTATACTGTTAAGTCAGAACCAACTCCTAGCTGATCCTCCAACAGGTTTTCAGAGGCAATCATTTTCATAGGAGAAGAGTGCCCATATTTCTTCCATGGAGCACCTGGTGGATTTGAACTGCATGTTTTTGGGTTAGCAGTGCAGCTCCTTACCACTAGGCCACCAGAGCTCCTGGATGTTACTTATTAATGTGATTAATTCACTGAATCTTCTCATCAACTATGATCATAAGTATTAAACTGCCCTTTACAGATCAGACACAGCTAAGGTTCAGAAAGGCTCAATGATAATTTATACAGAATTGCACCATTAGCAAGTAACATGGACAGAGCTCTAGTCTCCTCTGACTAATCTAAAGCTTGTGTGGTGTTTTCTACCCCTTTCCCACTCCAGCTCTTCACCAAGCCCCATCCTGCCAGGATGGCTCTAGGAAAGCCATTATCTGGAAAAGACATGAGCATGTCCATTAGCCTGCTGGGTTACCCCCAGCCATTCTTCTACAGCCTGCAGTCTCTGAAGCCCTCTCCAGTCACTGTCAAAGGTGAGTGTCTGACCTTGCTGTTGGTTGGGTGCCCTGTCCACAAGTTTCCCCCTTCACATATAGAAACATCTACACCCCTTCTCACCCCCAAAGACATATGGCAAGCAAGCTCACAGTTCTTTAAAAAGTTGGTCATACTCGGCCCCTTGCTCCCCTATGGTCCCATAGCTCTCTGTGCTCAGCTAGCATGAAGCCCACAGTTCTGACTATGTGCTCTAGTGCAGGCAGCCCATTGCTGGTCATCCTTGCTATGTCATAGCTGTGTAGCCTTAGAAAGGTAATGACCTTTCTAAGGGTCTCCTTCAGCCTCTATAATCCAGAACAGAATAAAATGAGATCATCTAAATGTACTACCCAGCCCATGGTTGATGCTCTTTAACCAGTGCTAACTGAAGTCCTGTTCTGACTGTTCATTGACTGCCACAAAGCATAAAGAGACCTGTAAAGGCCAGAGTTGGCCAAAGGAATCTCCCTCCACCCAGAAGGGGACAGTCACTAGTTTGGAGCAGGAGGCTGATGATGGTGGGGTAGCTCTGACACTGTGGGTGTGAAGCATGAACTTGTCTCCTAGACTCTCGTTTTTCTTTCTGTGGATATCAGGGCTACACCTCAATCTGATTGACTATGAAGTTGCTACTTCTTATTCTGCATGTCAGCTATTTGTCTTCCCCAGAGCTGTGCAACTCTAGTCACTTTTAAGGCTTGAAATCATTAGCCATGGCTGCTGCCTTTGAGTAACAGTGGGTTGGGGAGAGAAAAGGACCTGCACCTATATTAGGAGACTCCAGTGCCTGCCCAGAGAAGCTGAGGCAGCTCCTACCTCACTTCTCGTGACACTGGGACTTGGAAGAGACTTGGTCTCCTTGTGGGTCATGTGGGACAGTTCCTGTCTCAGGGTGGCTGCGATGATGCTGTGAGGGAGCCTCCTGGAGGACAGGCTCAGCTCTGGACATCCCCCATGAGTGTTCTCATCCCCATGAATGTCCTCACTGCGGCCTTATGAGGAGGGATCCTCATCTCATAGATGGACACCAGGACTCACCTGGGAGGAAGAAGGCTGTCCAGCTGGCTCAGGAGTGACTTTTTGATGGTGGAGCTGGTGGGAGGGCAAGGAATTGACCTGCATCCTGTCATCCTGACAGTCAATGTTGGATGAGAGAGTTAGGTCCTGGAGGATGGCCTCTGGCCTGGTGACTTCAGCTTGTCTGGCCATACACTCATTCATGAAGGAGCCAAATATTTAGAACTCTAAAGTGGGCCAGGGCCCCTGATGGTCTGACCCCTGGGGGTAGGAGGTGCTATGCATCCCTGCAGAAGAGAGTGTGACAGGAGGGGACCTACTGAACTGCCCCAATCCAGCGGGAGTTCTTGGTCATGTTCGGCGCCCTGCTGGCATGGATGTGCCCGGACATGTGAGTGCCACCATACTAACTGGAAGCAGATATGTACCTTTTTTCACTAGGCTCTGAGTCACCTAAGGGAGCCATCGGCCACATCGTTCCCACGGAGAAGACCATCTTGGCGGTGGAGAGGAACAAGGTTCTGTTGCCTGACCTCTGGAACAAGACCTTCAGCTGGGGCTTTGACGACTTCAGCTGCTGCCTGAGTGCCTATGGCTCTGACAAGGTGAGATGGCACCAACATGAGCACAGCCTTTAGGACCCCCAGCGCCCTATTAGATGAAGACAGAGGTGGCCAGTGGCCCCTGTCCTACGTGCTCCATGGGACCAGCCCCAGCCCTGTTTGTGGAACCTATGTATGGCTTTGCAAAGGCCTTTGACTCAAAGTCACATTTCAAGGAGTCACAACTCCAATTTCATAGTCTTGTTCCTTCTTACTGGCTGACTTCTGGTTATGTTAGAGCTGCCCCAAGTCTCACTCAGCCCAGGAAAGTGGGGCATTCTGGGGCTGCTGCTTCTGCCCAACTTGGCCTTAGAAAACAAAGTAAGCATCCCATAGACCACAAGAGTGAGTCAGCCATGCTGCTCCATTCCTCCCCACCCACACCCACCTCACAGCTGTTTCTGATCTCCTCAGTCCTGGGTTTTGTCACCAAGGCCTGGCTCAGAGCACTGAAGTGATAATGGATAAGTGTCACTGCATATGGGGTGGGAGAAAGGCACCTCCACCTGGGTCATTCTGCCCTGCCCCAGCCTAGCCCATATCAGACCCACAACCAGCTCTGCCCACCTGTTCCTACAGGTCCTGATGAAGTTTGAGAACCTGGCTGCCTGGGGCCACTGTCTCTGTGCTGTGTGTCCATCTGCTACGACAGTCATCACCTCAGGGGACAGCACTGTGGTGTGTGTGTGGGAGCTCTGCACAGCTAAAGGCCAGGCTCAAGGCCTGCACCTCCGGCAGGTACAACACTCAACATAGGAGTGCATTGAAGGACCTAGGGCAGGCTAGGGGACACAGAGGTGGGATAGACTGCCTTCACTCTCAAGGGCCATTTGAAAAGTGCAGAGAATAGAATGGGGGTCTCCCCAAAGGCACCCTCCACCAAGAGGTCCAACCCCACGTTAATCTGCTTCTCTTCACATTTAGAAGCCATGTATCATGTGGTCAAGTCAGACTTACAACAAGCTTGGCACTCAAAATCCTCCAGGGTCTCCCAGCACATTAATTTTGAGGCTCATGTCCAGCCATACTCCATCTGTGCTCAAGGGCTTGCATCTTGTTGTTATGCTGAACTCTTTCCAGAGGAACTTCCAGATTAAAGCAGACTGTTTGCGGGGTTTGGGGATCCCAAACATGATCACAATATTCTGATCATTCACCAGGGGCCAGGCAGAGGTGGAGTCCACCACAAGTCCAGGACTAACAACAAAGGATATATTCTTTTTCTGACTTCATGATGAGGACACAGCCCCAGAACGGTTTGAGTGTGATTCTATTCTCATTCTGTATACTTTTGAATTTGCCCTAGGAAATCTTTAGGGACATTTCCAACTCTAAAATAAGTTCATTTTCATTTTTAAACAATATTTCATACGAGTTTACTTGCAAACTTCATTTACATTGTTTTTGCACTAGATCTTTCCCATTTCCTTTATCCACCCATCCCTCCTGCCATCAAATTGTAGACCCTTTGATTACCATCCACTCCATCCTCTGAAAGTTTGCAGAGACTTAGGGTTTCCAGTCATTCATTGTTTCACTTTTCTCCCTCTTCTCACCCCCCCAATTCATTCTTCTCCTTGAAAGAAAAAGGAAAAACTCTTTCATTGTTATGCAATCCCTCCCTTCAAGTCCAGTCCACTATGCAGCCTTCACTCTAGACTTCTGTAATGACAAGAATACCCATTCATATGTCCCCTTTAAACAGTCTCTCCCTCATCTGTTTCAATGCAATATACATCATTCCTCCCCTCCTTTTCTGTCTTCCCGCAACTCTGTCAGTCCCATTTTACAACAGTGGCCCTATACAATATTTGTCATTTTGTGACTGAGATATTTCACTCAGTATAATGTAATGTACTCCAGGGTCATCCATTTTGCATAGTATCTCATGAGTTCCTTGTTTTTCAATGCTGCATAGTATTCCATTGTGTGACTATACCAGAGCTTCTCTATCCATTCATTTGTTGATGGGCACTTGGGTTGTTTCCAGCAATTTGCTATTGTGAACAAAGCTGCAATAAACATGGGTGTGCATATATCTGCATGGGGGCAGTTATGGTTTCTTTAGGGTAAATTTCCAGCAGTGGAATTGCTGGGAAAAATGATATTTCTATTTGCAACTTTTTGAGAAAGCACCATACAGCCTTCCACAGTTGTTGTTATGTGCCATCAGGTCGCTTGCGACTCATAGCAACCCTATGTACAATAGCCCTAAAACCTGCTCTATCCTGTGCCAATCACGCTGCCTCTGACACACCCATCCCGATTACTGCAGTCACTGAATCACTCCACCACATAGAGGGTCTTTCCTCTTGCCCCGACCCTCCACCCTCCCAAGCATGATGCCCCTCTCCAAGGACTTGTCCCTCCTTACAACATGTCCAAAATATGTCAGATGAAGCCCCAGAATCCACCAACAATGAATAAGGATTCCAGGTTCTCCAAAACCACACCAATATTTGATGTTTGCTGTTCTGTTAAATTTTGCTATTCTTACTGGGTGAGAGGCTATCTCATAGTTGTTTTGATTTGCAACTCTCTTAGAGCTAGGGATTTTGAACATTTTTTCATGTGTTTGTTTTCCTTCTGAATGTCTTTGGTGAAGTGTCTGTTCATATCCTGTGCCCATTTTTCATTTGGGTTATTTACTTTTATTTTGCATTGCTTGAGTATTTTATGAATCTAGATGTAAGTCCCTTGTCACACGTATCATTACCAAATATTTTTTTCCCATTCTGTGGCTTCCCTTTTTACTCTGTTGGAGAAGTTTTTGTATGTGCATAGGGATTTAATTCTTAGGAGGTCCCATTTATCTATTTTATCCTCTCCTTATTGTAGAGGAAGTTCATCCTTTCTGAGGCAAAGCCGACATCCATTTAGACTCCCTGAGTCCTGAGTAACCCCCACCACTACCCCAGGCTACGTTTAGAAGTGAAGACACTCAGCACTGATACCAAAAAATATCATTTATCACTTTTTCCTGCATCCAAGTCAAAAGAAGGCTTGTGGAATTCCACATGTGCTTGCTTGGTTACAGGCAAAAGAAAACACTTCCTTTTTCATGGAGACACACACACAGCCTTCATGGTGAGGGGCTTTTCCAAACAGCAGTCATCATTAATAGACTAGAAAACACTTTTCAGAGTTTTCTTATTAAAGATACTACACAAAGAAAATTTTCATATTCACTTCAAAATAATCCCTAAAATGCATCCCAAGTATAGGTATTATGCTATTTTAATTGTGTATACGTTTTCTCTCCATCACTTTCATGTAGCCATTCAAATTGTTTACATTTGCCTGCAGTCTCTGTGATTTAGTTTCCAGTGTTCCAGATTATACCATTCCTATGAAATTGCATTCACCTGTTCTATTATGCCAATACACCACAGTCTTAAGAAAACTGTTGCTGTTGTTGTTATGTGCCATCTAGTCGTTTCCGACTCATAGCGACCCTATGCACAACAGCTCTAAACCCTGCTCTATCCTGCGCCAACCGCACCGCCTCTGACACACCCATCCCGATTACCCCAGTCACCGAATCAATCCATCTCATAGAGGGTCTTCCCCTCCTGCGCTGTCCCTCCACCCTCCCAAGCATGATGTCCCTCTCCAAGGACCCGTCCCTCCTGGCAACATGTCCAAAGTATGTCAGACGAAGCCCCAGAATCCTTGCCTCCAAGAAGCAGCTTGGTTTAATCCTCTCCAAGATGGATCTGTTTGTTTTCCTGGCAGTCCAGGGTACATTCAGTACCCTTCTCCAGCACCACAGCTCAAAAGCATCCACTCTCCTTCTGTCCTCCGTCTTGTAAAACTAGCTAATTAAGATCGCTCCAAGCTTTAACTATTTTAAATGATGCTGCAAAAAAATCTTATGGGAGTTGTTTCTTGTACCGTATTATTTTCATAAGATAAATTTTGTTAAGTTGCATTACGAGTAGTGACTTAATGCTTTCCAAAATTATTTGTAGCTTTACAGTGCCATCGACAGTTGTTGTTGTTTGCTGTCAAGTCGCCTGAAACTCATAGCGACGCTGTGGACAACAGCTCTAAACTCTGCTCTATCTTGTGCCAATCTCACAGTGTCTGACACACCTACCCCTATACCCCCAGTCACTGAATCAATCCACCTCATAGTGGGTCTCCTCTCCTCCACTGTCCCTCCACCCTCACAAGCATGACATCCTTCTCCAAGGATTGGTCCCTCCTTGCAATATGTTCAAAGTATGTCATATGAAGCTTCAGAATCCTTGCCTCCAAGGAGCAGCCTAGTTTAACCCTCTCTAGGAGAGCAACGACACCAGCCTGGAGACTAAAGTGCACCTGATCCAGGCTATAGTCTTCGCAATTGTGTGCTATACTTTGGAGAGTTGGACAGTGACTAAGGATGCTAGAAAGAGAGTTGATTCCTTTGAGCTGTGGTGCTGGAGAAGAGTGTTGTATATATCATGGACTGCTAGGAGAACAAACAAGTTTGTCCTAGAGAGGATGAAGCTGGAATGCTCCTTGGAGTTAAGGATTCTAAAGCTTCGTCTGACATATTTTGGGCATGTTTCAAGGAGGGACTGGTCCTTGGAAAAGGACATCATATTTGGGAGAGTAGAGGGATGGCATAGGAGAGGAAGACCCTTGATGAGATGCGTCAATTCTGTGACTGGGGTTGTGAGAATGAGTGTGTCGGAGATGGTGAGGTTGGCACAGGATAGAGCAGCATTTAGGCCTCTTGTACATAGGGTCACTATGAGTCACAAGTGACTTTATGGCACATAACAAGAACAACAGGATTAACTTGTTCATTTTCATAGCAGTCCATGATATATTCAATACTCTTCTCCCATACCCCAGCTCAAAGACATCAATTCTCCTTCATCCTCCCTAGTCATTGTGTAGCTCTCTGACGCATAGCAAGTGCTTGAAAAAGTCATGGCTTGTGTCAGATTCACCTTAGTTTCCAGAGTGATACCATTGCTCTTCAGTACTTTAGAGAGGTCCCTAACAGCAGACTTTCCCATTTCTTGGCTGCTGGTGCCAAGAGTGTTGTTTGTGGAGTCAGGTAAACTAAAGCTGTTAGTAATCTCAATTTCTTCACCATCCATCCTGATGCTGCCAATTGGCCCAGTGGTGAGAATCTTTGTTTTTTTGATACTGAGCCTCAATTCATACTGAAGGCTGCAGTCCTTGACCTTCTGCAGCAAGCGTTTCAGGTCCTCCTCAGTTTCAGCAATGAGGGTTGTGTCATCTGCAGAGTACTGATGAATCTTCCTCCAATCCTGATACCACTTGTCCTCATACAACCCAGCCTCCCAGGTAATCTGTTCTGCATATAGTAAAGGTATGGAGATAGGACATATCCCTGGCTTACACCCTTCCAAATTTTTAACCATGCAGTGTTTCCTTGCTCTGTTCTGACGACTGCCTGCTGGACCAAGTATAGGTTTCACATTAGCACCAATCAAGTGTTCTGGGATTCCCACTCTTCTCAGAGTCAGCCACAGTTTGTTGTGATCCCCACAGTCCAATGCCTTTGCACAGTCAATGAAACACATATATACATTCCTCTGGTATTCCCTGCTTTCAGCCAAGATCCATCTCACATTAGCTATAATATCCCTAGTACCACAACTCCTTCTAAGCCCAGCCTGCACTTCTGGCAGTTCTCTGTTGACGTGCTGTTCCAGTCATTTTTGGATACTCTTCAGCAGAATCTTACTTACATGTGATATCAGTGATATTGTTCAAGAATATTAATAGTTGAGGGTGCCATTTTCACCACAGTGGAACCAGAATTGACTGTTCTTTTCAGAGGTTCTTATTTACATTTTTGCTACTTTATTTAGACTTAAGATAATATCCTATCTACAAGTCATCCTTTTGGCCTAGTAGAGAGTTTTCTGTTTTATGAGACAAATAAAACACAAACGAAAAAGTGCTAGTCAAAGACCAAATTGAAGATTCCATAATTCCAAAACCCTGTTCATTGCTGCAGAAAATCTCTCAATATAGTGCTGGGAGATAAGCCCTTTTGGTGTAAGACACTCAAAGTACAAAGTGGACTTCAGCTCAGCCAGGTGAGGCCTAGTGACATTTCATTGTTGTTCCTGGGTTACCATGCATCTCAGCCAACTTGAAGATATTGACAACCATGATTTGTTTGCTTCCTAGTGCATGAAGGCACAAATGTGCCATACCCAGACCAGCAATATCACCTGGAGTCTGTGCATCCTGGGGTCCTAGCCAAGAACTGTAGGATCAGAAACTTAGGGCATTGACCCCAGCAACGGGATGTTCACAGCCCTCTGAGGGATTCTTATTCTTGCATAAAGTTTGAGAGCCCTCCCACCTTAAGAAAACCTCAACAGTACACCAAACCTTAAAGTCTAAGGCATAAGAGAATTCAAGATAAGGTTCAAATTGAAAATATGTGGTTCTTTAAGTTCAGTAGTCCCAGGTTCTTAGTCAATCTGGCCACATCACCATGAAGTGACTCAAGGTCTCAGGCCTGACCCTGAGTTTGGTTTCTGTGGGGTCTGACTTGGTGCATACATCAACATGAAGGCTGTGTCCCTGGGGTGTATCCCAGAAAGGCTGGGAAGTCTGCCAGGCCCGTTGTGTCTGGGTTGCCTGTATGGCCTCTGTCACAGGCACGTGGGTTTGCCAGCTGAGCCCAACCTGAGATCTGTGCAAACCCATGTCTTTGTGCTCTGAAATCAGAGATGCCTTTTGGAAATGACATCATCCTGGCCTTTCTGTCCCCCAGGACAGACACAGACACTCACTATTTGGCCTGGGGAAGCTAAGTATTATTTTTCAAAGCTGTCACTTTGTCCAGACTCAGTAATTCAGTATTCTACCATGGACTCCGACTTTCTCTCAATGGGTTCTGAAGTGTCATCAAGCAGATGGTGCTCGCAAGTTTCTGGGCCTCTACCAGAGAAGACATGAGGTGTCATAGAGGATTTGTAAAAGCAGATGTTGTTTTAGAGTATTTATGAAAGCAGAGCTTTGGACTAGCACTTTCTGATTTTCTTACCAGAATCAGCTTTCCAGAACTAAGGACTCAAACTAACCACATAAGACTGACAACTCCCAGGAGGGCAGGGAGGGTCCAAGCCGAGGGGCTGGGGCACAGATAGATGCTGAACAGAAATGTCTACATGTGCTGTTTGTGATGCAGCATTGACCCTGATGACAGGCCATGGGGACTGAATCCAAGGAAGAGGTGTTTTCTTAAGATAAGGCAGAAGAGAGAGTGTCCCATGCCTACCACCCTGAAAGGCAGAGAACATTGAAGGTATTTCTGTTAGATGGCACAATGTGGCCTGAAGAATAACAGAAGGGAGCGATGCCCAGGCCTGCACATCTTCATGATCATTAATGCATTTGGGTCCATCATTGAAGCCACTGTGTATGAGTCTCTTCCAACCCAGGGACTCAGCTCACAGCACTATGTCTGGCATCCTTCTCCTGTGCTCCACAAGGCATTCACTGGCTAAATTTTGGAACTAGACCTAGTCCCTTCCTCTTAGTTGCCCTAGCCTGGAAGCTCCTCTGAAACCTGCCCGCCATGATTGAGCCTTCTGCTGTTTGAGATATCACTGATGTAGCTTCCTGCATGCCAGCAACATGCAAACCAGCAGAGTTTGTCAAACTGACAGGTAGGTAGTGGCAAGATGAATGCAGGGGTACAAAACTTGAGGAGGATGCTGGTACTGGGGCTATGGTGAAATAGATCTGCTTTTTCCAAAATGGGCCTCAGTCCCTGTGAATGGATGGAACTGGTGGTAGGGCAGCCATGAACACACACATAGAGACTTTAAAGTCACCAAGGTTCTCTGCTTCCTTATCTGGGAACCAACACTAAAAAGGAGGGCAGCGTCTTCTAATCAAGTGGCTGAACTGAGGAGTCTCTGTCATAACCAGTGTCTCCTGTCCTCAGGCCTTGTATGGGCACACGAAGGCTGTCACGTGCCTGGCTGCATCAGTTGCCTTCAGCCTCTTGGTGAGTGGCTCCCAGGACCGCACCTGCATCTTGTGGGACCTGGACAACCTCATTCACGTGACCCGCTTGCCAGCCCACCGGGAAAGCATCTCTGCCATCGCGATCGGTGATGTTTCGGTGAGACTTCTCTTTCTTAGTGCTTGTATCTTGCTTTGTGTCTGTGGCTTGGATGTTAGCATGGGACTAGGGAGGCACTAAACCCCCAGAGTGTTTTGTTGACCTCAGATATGTAGCAAACACCCCTTCAAGGAGGAATGCAGTCTTCACCATTGGAGTGCTTCTTTGTAGCTGGAGCTGTGGAAGAAGTCTGTTTCAGCTTGGCCACAAGAGTGTTAGGGCAAGAATATTTAGCTTATGCCTTTTCTGGGATCTGATTACAAATTGCAGTTGTGCTAATGGTCTGTAGCGTGTGGACATCTTACCTCTCTGAGCTATAAATTGGAGTATAGTATCTATACCAGGGTATTTCTGAAATATAACAGACTTGGTGAATTTAAGCAATCATGTCTCACATCACTTCATAATATAAATAAGGTGGCATTGCCTGCATATGCTTATGAGTAGAAGTTGTCACAAATACAATTTCTGGTTTTCAGTGAGGCAATCTTTGGTCTGAACTTTCTATATGGGAGATGGGATTCTCTGCAGAAGCAAAGGCTTCTATATATATATCAGCTTATAGACAATCCCAAGGACCCAGGACATGGGTAAAACAGGTAGAAATGGATAGAATATATGACAGAGGTGCCAACTATTGAACAGGATTCAAGTGATTTGAATCCAGGATGAATAGTGGATATTCATATTAGATTCAGTATTAGATGGGTGGATGGGTAAGTATATGAGTAAGTAGATTGATGTACAGTTGTAATCATAGTTAATGTGTAGCTGTTGGTGTTGTCATTAAGTGCTATCAATTTTACTACAGTTCGTAGTAACTCTGAGAAAAACAGATTAGAACCTTACCCTATCATCACCCTCAAGACCTCCAACATGCTCAAGCCTATTGTTAATGTCATAGTGCCAATCCATCTTGTTGAAGTTCTTCTTCTCTATGACTGTTCTCCTTTTCAAGCATGATGTCTTTTTTCTAGAGCTGTTGCCATCTGTCATGCCCAAAATATGCAAAGTGGAATTTCACCATCCTTGCTTCTAAGGAGCAATCTGGTTGTACTTCATCCAGAACAGACTTGTTTGTTCTTTTGGCAGTTCATGGGATGGTCAATACTCTTAATAACAATTTAAAAGCATTCTTAAATTCTTCTTTCACCATTATTACTCATTATCCAACCTTAAGAGGCATAGGAAGGCATTGAAAATATCATGACTTAGATCAAGCACACCTTGGTCTTTAAATTGACATCCATGCTTTTTTAGCACTTTGGAGAAGTCCCTGGCAGCAGATTTTCCCAGTGCAACATATGGAAGGAATACTTGGTAATACAGCTAATTATTTGAATACATGCACCAAATACTAAAATTAAAGATGAATAAATTGAAGACTTCTATACGCTTTTACATGCTCTAGTCACCATGGTAAGAAGATGTGCACAAAAGGCACAAGATTCAATCCACTAGATACTCTGCTGGAGAAGGAGGAACAATATCCTCCTGTACTAATCAGATCTGATTTGATGGTACACACACAATAATAATAATAATTTTTTTTAAAAAGGCACAAGATTCAGATATTCCAGCTCAAAATGGAGACAGGGACAGTCTCCTCCTGCGGGATTTACTGCCTCTGAAAACTTGCTGGAGGGTCATGAATTGGTCCCAACTCAATGGCATACAACAATATCAGCTTTTGCAGTCTGAAATTGATCCAACATGCTGTCAAGATGCATTAATAATAATTGGTGACAGGAATGAAAAAAAAGTGGAAGCAAAGAAGTAGAACCTCATCTGATGGACTATATAGTAATCAGAGTAACTATATTTGTGGCAGGAAGGAGAAGTTGGAGAAGCTCAGTATCAGTAGTCAAAATAAGAACATGAGCTAACCGTGGAACAGAGCATTGATTACTCATGCGCAAGTTCAATCAAATTGAAATTGAAGAAAATTAAAACAAGTCCACAGACCTTGACCAAATTATGATCTTGAGTCTATCTCATTTGAACTGTAAAATTATCTCAAGAATAGATTTGATGTATTGAACACTAAAGATCAAAGACCAGCTGAATTGTGTATGACATCAAGGACATCATCCATAAAGAAAACAAAAGGCCATTTCGAAGACAAGAATGAAAGAAAAGACCAAAGTAGATGGCAGAAAAGACTCTGAACCTTTCACTAAAACAGAGAACAAAATAAAAAGAAGAAATGCTGAAGTAACAGAACTAAACAGAAGTTTTCAAAGAGTAGCTCAAAAATACAAAGTATTAAAATATGCAAAGAACTGGAGTTAGAAAATCAAAAGAGGAAAAATGTGCAGCATTTCTCACGCTTATAAGATCTGAAGAACAAATTCAAGTCTCAACTATAGCTATAGGATGGAAAACCAGGTTGGTTAGATTGATGGGTAGATTCATGTATGGGTTAATCAATGAATGAAGAAGTAGACATCTACAGAAGTAGATGAATAAATAGGTGGATGAGTAGAGAGATTTCTTGGTGGATTAGTGCTCTGGTAAATCAATGAGTGGTTAAGGATACACTTGTATTGTTAGGTGCCTTCAAATCAAGTACGACTCATAGCAACGCGATGAAAAATGGATCTGAACCCTGTCCGATCCTGTGCCATTCTCATCATCTCTGATACCCTCAAGCTGATTGCTACAGTTATTGTGCCAGTTCACCTGATGGAGTGTATTCCTCTCCTTTGCAGTCCTTCCACCTTCCCAACATGATGTCTCTCTCCAAAGAATAGCCTCTCCTAGAAACACCAAAATATATGAGATGGAGCTTCATTGTCTTCACCTCCAAAGAAGCCTCTGGCTGCAATTTCTTCAATACAATCTTTTTATTGTTTCAGCAGCCTATGAGAGATTTAGTACTCTTCTCCAATACCACAGTTCAAAGGCATGAATTCTCTTCTCTCATCCTTAGTCATTGTCCAGCTCTCGGATGCATAGTAGTTGACTAAAAAGACCATGGCCTGAAGTAGGCACACTTTAGTCCTCAAACTAACATCATTGCTCCTTAATAATTTGGAGATGTTTCTTACTACAGACTTTTTCCAGTGCAATACATCTCCTGATCTCCTAACTGCTGGTACTAAGTGTATTTATTATGGATCCAAGCAAGATAAAGTCTTTGATTGTTTCAATCTTTTATTGTGATGTTGCCTATTGGTCTTTTTGTTTTATTGATACTGAGATGCAATCCATATTGAAGACTGCAATTGTTGATCTTCTGCAGCAAGTGCTTCAAGTCCTTGCTTTCAGCAAGCAAAGTTGTGTCACCTGAATAACAAAGATTAATGATGAGTCCTCCACCAATCCTGTGCCTCGTTCTTCTTCATACAATAATCTTCAAATAATTTTCTTAGTACTCACATTGAATAGGTATGAAGAAAGAATACAACCCTGAAGGACACATTTTCAAATTTTAAAACATGCAAAGTTCCTTTGCTCTGTTTGCATAACAGCCTCTTGATCTAGGTGTAGGTTTCACATGAGCACAATTAAGTGTTTTGCAATTTCCATTCTTCTAAATGCTAGCTATAATTTGTTACGATCCATGCAGTCAAATGTCTTTGCACAGTCAATAAAGCAAAAATATACATTCTTCTGGTATTCTTTGCTTTCAATCCATCTGACATCAGCAATGATATCCCTGGTGCCACTGCATCTTCCAAACCCTTTGGACACCTGGCAGTTCTCTGTCTATGTATTGTTCTAGCCATTTTTTAGTGATGCTCAGGAATGTGGCATCAAGATTGGGGAAGACTCAACAGCCTACAATATGCAGATGACACAACTTTGCTTGCTGAAACTGAAGACCTGAAGCACTTGCTTCAGAAGGTTAAGGACCATAGTCTTTAATGTGGATTGAAGCTCAACATCAAGGAGACAAAGATTCTCACCACCACTGGGCCAATTGGCAACACCATGATAGATGGAAAGGACATTAAGGTTGTTAGCAATTAAAGCTTGCTCAGTTCAACAATCAACACTCTTAACACTAGCTGTCAGGAAATAAAAAAACAAATTGCATTGGGAAAAATCTGCTGTCAGGGACCTCTCCAGAGTGCTGAGAAACAAGGATGTCAGTCTAGATACAAAGATGCCCCTCAGCCAGGCCATGGTCTTTCCAGTTATTTGTTACGCTTCAGAGAGCTGGACTAAGGATAACAGAAGAAGGAAGAATCAATGCCTTTGAGTTTTGGTGCTGGAGAAGAGTCTTGAACTCTTGGACTCCCAAGAAAACAAATAGGTCTTTCTTGGAGAGGGTGGAACCAAGTCTCTCCTTGGAGACTAGGATTTTGAAGCTCCGTCTCACAGCCTTTGGGCACATGGCCAGGAGAGACTGGTTCTTGGAAAAGGACATCATGCTTGGGAGGATGGAGCGACAGTGCAAGAGAGGAAGACCCTGGATGAGAAGGATTAATACAGTAACTGGAGCATTGGGGGTTGGTGTGTTGGAATTAGTGAGACTGGCTCAGAACAGGAAAGGTTTCAGAGATGCTATACATAGGGTTGCTATGGGACATAAACAACATGACAGCACATAACAACAGCAACAACAACACATATTATACTGGTTGTTTTTTATTTAAGCCTCTTGTTTAGAGTCAACAAGACCTCATGGAGGGCTTTTGTATTTAAAAGTTAGTTGTTATTATATTTTGGAGGAACGTTCTTCTAAGTAGTATAGCACTCTTATATTATTTGCTTTACAGTGGTAACCTGGGTTTGCTGTGATGCTGAACCTTGTGCCATTGGGATGTCAAATGCCATAATGTTACTCATGGTGGACAGTGTTTAGTGGAGCTCCCATAAAAGTTTGGAAGCAGGAGTGGCATCCACTTCCTAAACAATATGACTCTGGAAACTGTGAACTTTGAGAAACGACATTAGCTATAGAAAGGCTTTAGGCCTTTTGTTCATAAGGTCACTATGAGTTGTGCTCGACTCAATGGCAATCAACAACAACAACAGTAGTATTTTGTTTGTATGTGATATTAATTATATTATTTGATAGTTTAGTTAATAGCTAGGTAGGTGAGTCTTTTGAAGAAGTCAACAAGCTCTGATCTGAGAAAATACAAGGAATTTAAGATTGCAGAGAAGACTGACACCAGACAAGTTCTTTTGGAACCAATTAAATCCATTTACGTGTCTGCTGGCACCCACACTGCTGGTTGTGAAGCACTGAGGTGATCAGATAAGGGCCCTGGCCTTAAGCAGATTATTTCAAAGAATTCAGAAAGTACCTTGATGAATGCCATCAAGTCTGAAGAGTCTCAGAAGAGCCGCACTAAACTCTCTTCCACATTTTCATGATTCAAACTAGCTCAATGAATCTTCAGTGACAGTGGTCACTACCCATTGGACACAGTGTAGACAAAGATTTGAAGAATTACTTAGAAAAGAACTTTCAGGGTACATTTGGGATATAATCCTTAAAAATTGCTTTATGAGAAGCACTGTTTATTTTTGAGCTACTTGCAGTTTCTTGAACCAGCTCCTGTAATCCACTAGAGAAACTTCTTCATGAGGTGAGGCAGGCTGGGTGCAGGCCCAGTGTTCAGAGCCAAGGGCAGTCCTCATTCCAGTCTTCTATGTCATTTGGTGACTAAGCAGGGAGTTTTCTAGAAGTAGCCCATACCACTTAGTAAATGGTAAGCCACTTAGTGTCTGCTTAGAAAAACAGTATCCAAAGACTTAGTTACACAGGATGTGGTCATGCTTAACTAACCAAATAGGGAATAGAGAGGGAAGAGGGGAAGGAGGGAAAAAAATGAGACTAAGAAAAAGTTCACACTCAGAAACAACTATGGAGGGTTGACAGGTAGGGATGGAAGGGGAAGGAGAGGGAGCAGGGATTAGTGAAAGGGGGGGTTAGGTAAAGGGAAAGAGAAGGTACAGAGAGGAGAGGTTTCAACAAGAAGTTGTTAGTAATTGCATTATTCAATTGTTATAATTATTATGTATTATAAAATGTAAAGTATATGTTGTTGCTGTTGTTATGTGCTGTTGATTCACTTGCAAGTCATAGCAACCCTTTGTGCTATAGCTCTGAACTCTGCTCAATCCTGTGCCAACCTTATTGTCTTTGACACACCTACCCCATTACCCATGTCACTGAGTCACTTCATATCATCAAGAGTCTTCCTCTCTTGGAGCTGTCCCTGCACTCTCCCAAGAATGATATCCCTATCCAAGGACTAGTCCCTCCTTGCAACATGCTCAACATATATCAGACAGAACGTCAGAATCCTTGCCTCCAATGAACAGCCTGGTCTCACTCTCTCTAGGATGAGCCTATTTATTCTCCTAGCAGTCCATGGTATATTAAAAACTCTTCTCCAGCACCACAGCTCAAAGGCATTAGTTCTTCTGTCATCCCAGTCATTCTCCAGCTTTCTGACACACAGTAAGTAATTGCAAAGTCTATGGCATGGATCGGTCACACCGTTGTCTCCAGACTGACATCGTTGTTCTTCAGTACTCTGGAAAGGTCCCTAACAGCAGAATTTCCCAATGCAATTTGTCTATATGAGTGATTTAATTAAAACCAATTAAATAAACAACAATCCAAACTTGTTGCAGTTTGAAAAGGACAAGAGTTTTCAGTTGGTTAAAAATACAGCTCACGTTTAAGTTAGCATGGAAGAAGTAGGTGTCATGGTAAGGGGAGAGCTTGGGGAGTCTGAGTTCAAAGGGTGGCCTGTTGGGTGCTCAAGTGGACAACTGATATCTGAAGTGAGCATCAGAAGACAGGCGCTGACTCCAGCTTGTTCTGCTGCAGGGCACCATCATTTCCTGTGCAGGAGCCCACCTGTCCCTTTGGACTGTAAATGGACAGCCCTTGGCCAGTATCACCACAGCTTGGGGACCAGAAGGAGCCATAACTTGTTGCTGTGTGGTAGAAGGATTAGCCTGGGACACAAGTCACATCATCATCACGGGGAGTCATGATGGCATGGTTCGGGTAGGTGTGTCTAGGAAACAATCAAGCCATGGTACTAGAAACGTGTTCATCTCTATTTTGCTCAAGCGTACATGTGAGGCCATCACAGCACAGGAGCATAATGTAAAGCAATTTACTCAGTGCTTGTTCCTGCTTTTTGCCAGCAGTAAAGTCTAGACTGAGAGCACATAAACTATACAGAGGTACTAACAAGCAAGCCAAAACTAGGGTGCTGGACAAGAGTTAGAGGGAAAGAGACATGATTGAGTGGGCTTCTGGGGGATGAAAACAGCAATGCATTAACTGAGGAGGTACAAAGTAGCCACTGTCTTCCTGAAAGGCAGGAGAGGAAAGAGGCACTTTCAGATGTAGGAATGAGGTACTGACCTCTAAACTCCCTTTTGATTAGTCAAAACCTTCACACAGAGAAACTAAAGCCTAATTAATTCTTTTTCCTAAGAACTAATTGTTGTTGCTGTTATGTGCCATGGAGTCGCTTGCGACTCATAACGACCCTATGTACAACAGCCCTAAACTCTGCTCTGTCCTGTGCCAATCGCACCATCTCCAACACACCCATACCGATTACCCCAGTCACTGAATCAATCCACCTCAGGGGGCCTTCCCCTTCTGCACTGTCCCTCCACCCTACTAAGCATGATGTCCCTCTCCAAGGACCTGTCCCTCCTTGCAACGTGTCCAAAGTATGTCAGACAGCCTGGTTTGACCCTTTCCAGGATGAATCTTTGTTTTCCTAGCAATCCATGGTACCCTCAATACTTTTCAGCACCACAGCTCAAAGGCATCAATTCTCCTTCTATCCTCCTTAGTCATTGTCCAACTCTCTGATGCATAACAAGCGATAGCAAAGACCATGGCCTGTATCAGGTGCACCTTAGTCTCCAAAGAGACACCATTGCTCTTCAGTACTTTGGAGAGGTACCTAACAGCAGACTTTCCCATGGCAATATGTCTTTTAATTTCCTGGCTGTTGGTGCCTAGAGTGTTGACTGTGGAGCCAAGCAAACGGAAGCTGTGAACACTCTCAATCTCTTCTCCATCCATCCTGATGCTGCCAATTGGTCCAGTGGTGAGAGTCTTTGTCTTCTTGACATTGAGCCTCAATCCATATTGGAGGCTACAGTCCTTGACCCTCTGCAGCAAGTGCTTCAGGTCCTCCTCAGTTTCAGCAAGCAGGGTTGTGTCATCTGCATAACGCAGATTGCCTGATGCCGCATTTCTCCTCATAGAACCCAACCTCCCGGATAATCTGTTCTGCATACAGGCAGAAAAGGTATGGAGATAGGATGCATCCCTGGTGTATGTATTTGGAATCGATCAAGAACTAATTAGCATCAGAAATAAAATTGGGGCTTAGCCCCACCTCTTCCTTCAGAGTTCAATGGGAGTCACTTTCTAGTCTAACACATTTTTTCTTTTTGTATAGATTTGGAAGACTGAGGATATGAAGATGTCTGCTTCTGAGCACACAGAGGTAGAGGATCCCTCTGCCCAGCTTCCAAACCAAAGAGGTATCTGTCTCCTCCTGATGCAGCTCACGCCTTGGCCTATCTCTGGCTCTCCTAGCTTCCTTTGCTCTCAGCCCCTCACAGCACTTTCTTCTGGGCCTGTGGAGCCTTGACAAGTGGGAAGGAGCTGGAGAAACTCTATTTGTCTCAGATCTCCACAAGTTCTGTAATGATCCTTGGTCTAGCAACAGGGATCATGATGGAGCTGAGAGATTCAAGATGGGGAGATGCACTTTGGTGAGCTTTACCCAAGCTCATTCTTCACCTGGATGTTCCTCAAATGCCAAAATTCTAGGGTCTGGTCCCAACTGGTATTGGTCTGGACAGCATAGCTGTAGACAGGAACAAAGGGAAGGAAGACTATGCTAAGTTCCCAGAAAAGAGGAAGTGCCCCCTCCCAAACCACAGCTTTCCCCCCAACATTGCAGAGCCATATAACTCCAGTAACAGGCACTTCAGAGAGGGTCTGGGTATTGTCTGCACAAGGATCCCTAGAATTTATATTTAAAATAGAGTGCCCAGTATACCCCAACTTATCCCCTGAAAAGATTTGGGCATTTGGGAAGAAAAATGCAAGTTAAACAAAATTCCCAGGTGAGTCTTGGTGCTAATGAGTCAGAAAACCACTAGTCTAGGCATAACCTTGTTTGAGTTGTAGAAGATGAGACTGAAATAAGAAAATTTCTTCCATTATGGCTATTGTACCATTTAGGTCCATAGTGACAGAGGACTGACCATGGACATATGTCACTCCAAGCCCAAGGCATGCATGCATTCTTTATTCCTCATAACAACTCTGCAAGGTAGATAATACTACCACAACCTATATGATAGATCAGAAAACTGAGGCAGAGAGGCATGCCCAAAATTAACAAGCAACAATGACAATACTATTATTGCCACTAGAAATCTCTAGTAACCTCGTGATAAGGAGTTGCAAACTCAAAAGCAAGCAGTTTGAGTCCACCAGCAACTTCATGGGAGAAAGATGCATAATCACCTCCTGTGCAGTTTACAGCCTCTGAAAGCTCGTGGAGGGTCAGCTATAACAACAGTACTATTGCCACTCCATAACAACCACAACCAGCCAAAATTATCTTCCCCCCACATAATGCCACTGCTCGCATAATGCTCAGCAGACAAAATTACCACCACCAGTGAGTCCACTACCTCCACAGCAATCACCAAGACAAGCTGTTCCACCTTTGTAGCCACCATAGCTGTCATAACTACCCCTACTATAGTCCTTGCCTTTCCATTGCAGCTCATCTCCCACTCAAGCTTTGTCTTCACCAAAGATTGTTTCCTGCTCTCTAGCTCAGAGTTGAAATGACTCTATTGAGTGTCAATGATGAAAAGTCTATAATCACAGTTCTTCTGATAACTCTGTTTGTTGCATGTTCTGCAAGCTGTCATCATCCACAGAAAATAAGTTCCTGGATTGCTTGAGACTGTCTTTTAAAAAGAGAAACTGTTTTCAGTTATTTCATTTTCAAGGTATGCCACACACTCCTTGATTCATTGAGTCCTTCACTCACTTCTTCCTCCACATGAGCAGTTATAAGCGTGTGGTCACACTCTCGTCTGTGGTAACATACATTCTCATTCTTGGCAACCACTTGGAGATCACCATCCAGACACCCTTATCAATAGTTCTGACTGAGCCAAAGAGGTGACCCCACAATGTCTGTAACTGCATCCAGCCACAGTGCATTGGGCCCAGTATTCCCAGTACACTTTAAGACATTGTGATAAACATTGGTGTTTCAAAAGAAGAATTTTTTGTCTTTCTTGAGTGAGACTTGAGTTTGGCTCCTGAATGATGCATTTGATGCACAGTCACCAATGATCTTTGAGTAGGACTTGCACATTGCCCAGCTATTCCTATGGTAAGGCTTTCTATGATTCTGTAGAGTTTCCATGCTAAGATAGACAATGAAGAAAGGCCTGGTGGTCCACTTCCAAAGATCAGTCTGTGAGAACACTGTGGATACAACTCTCCCTTCTACAACTAAGCATGGGGATAGGGAACGGTTCACATAAGGTCTTCATGAGAAGCTGACTCAACAGCAGCTAGCAACAGGGACAACTAAGGCACCACAGAAATTAGTCCCTCTCATCACGAAAGGAAAGAAGTTATGGGGCTTGTATATTCTCCTGAAACCTCCTGAATACTTCCGAAAGACATTGCCAAACTCACTTGGCATAGAACTGGCATATGTTCCTTGTCCTAAGGTGAGTCCTAGAACACTCCAATTCAATCATGGGTTCTACTCCCCATTTTTTAAATTGTTACAGTTCATTGAGCTAAAGCTGTTAACTCAGCCTGTAGATAATGGATGTCTGAAAGAAAATACTGAGTGTAAAGGTAGATGGAAGTCCAGATGGACAAAAGGTACATCAAGGCCATTCCACTGTTTCTAGAAGTGCCAGCAACTCTGTTTCTGCTTAAGATCAATAGTTATGATGAGGCTGTGTTCATTGGTAAGGGATCTTGAGAAATGGGAAATGAGATAGAAAACAGAAGCCAAGGCCCTACATGTAACTCTGCCACCTACAATTTCTCTAGTACTCAATTTCCTCCTCTATCAAAGGGAGGTACTTCTCACAAAGAAAACAAAAATATTCACAACTAGAGTAATATAAAACATCATGATAAAAAAGAGAAAGAATTGACATTGTCAAGGATTTATTGTTCCTTGGATTCATAGCCAATGCCTATGTGAAGCAGCAGTCAAGAAATACAAAAGAGATGTTGTGTTGGGAAAATCAGCTAACTTGCTAAAGAGCAAGCATGCCCATTTAAAGACTAAGATATTCCTGGCTTAACCATGGTATTTTCAGTTGCTTCATATGCAATTAAAAGTTAGACAATAAGTAATAGTGAAACCAAATAAGAATTGATGTCTTTGAATTGTGATATTGGTGAAGAAAATTGACTCCCAAGAGAACAAACAAATCTCTCCTGGAAGAAGTAAAGGTAGGGTATTTCTTAGAAGCAAGCATGGTGAGGTTTTGTCTCATATGTTTTGCACATCTTGTCAGGAAGAGTCAATCCCTGGAGAGAGACTTCATGCTCAGTAAATTAGAGTATCAGAAGAACAGAGAAAGGTCCTCACTAAGATGGACTGGCACAGTGCCTGCGGTAATGGACTTGAGCAAAGCAGAGATAGTGGGAGAGACCCGAGGCTTCATTCCATTGCACATAAAATGACTAAGTGGGCACCACCTCACTGACACCTAACAACAGAGTGCCAATGACAAACAGAAACAGACAGGATCTATTCACAAACTGTAGTCACAATGACCATTTCTCACTCCCGTGTGTTTCCTTTCCCTGAAAACATGAGTTGACAACATTAGAAAACTTACTAGATAGTTTTAGACCAACAGGAGGCAAATGTCCATGCCCTGCCCTCCAGATCGTCCTTCTCTGAGGTCACTACAGCCTCACACAATGAATTTCAAAGATTCTGATTACACTTCAAAGCAAAGTCCTCATAAAATGACAAAGGGGTACAAGCATATTAATAAAAAGCAGCCTGGTCCATAGTTTAGAGTTAACAGATTCACAAGCAGATCTTACAAATAGGTTTCACTGGAGTTCTTGGATAAGGAAATGTGTTCAGACATTGCTTGAAATGGTTTTGCTGCAGTAGAACAAGTACTGGGCATAAAGAGTGGCTTTAGGCGTATCTCTTGGTAGATATGCTGCTACATCCCTCAAATGTCTTAATGTGCAAGAAACTAAGCATTAAAAGATAGCAAAGACACACGCGTTAATTGGTAAATACAATCTGATTTCTGATAGAATCCATTTGTTTGTGTTTAGCAAGAATCATTCCACTTGAGTGTTGCTTGCTCAAGGGATCACCCCACAGACTTATGCTCACTCTGATGCTCTGCAAGGGCTGATAAAGCTAGTTTGGAGTTGCTCGCAAACTGGAAAATGTCTTCTTTTCCTTTGAGGCAGCTCCCTCTTTGTATCCCTCTTGCATTTCTGGCACAAAGGCCTGTATGCACACAGCAGTATCTTCCCTGCCCTGGTCTCCTCCCAGTGGCTCTGCAGGGCTCTGTCCCACTGGACATCCCCTGACTCCACTATTCATGTGAAACTGCCTGTCTCCAAATGCAGTCATTAAAATGAGTGAAGTAACAATTGTTGAGTTATATTTTTTGATAAAAAAAAAAGAACCAATGTTCTCAGCATTTAATTACTGGTTGTGGTGTGAGAGGATTTAGTTAAGTTGATAATGCCGACTTTATGCAATTTATTTTTACTAGGCAATTATGGACTGCATTACATCCTAGCAGCAGCAAGGTATTGTGGGGCATCTTATTAAGCATAAAGCCAGTAAACACTGATGAACAATTTTGCTGAACTAGGCATGCAATTTAGAAAGCAATAATACACAAATTCAATTTGGTACACAATGGATACCGCAGCACGTCAGCACATGTAACTATCACAGCCTGCAAATTAAATTGGGACGGCCCTTTTTGCAACAGCACAGGCCAAGATTAAATACATTTTCCCCGTCAATTTAACAACTTGCTGACCATAAATATAAATATGTGTGCGTGTGTTTGAGCTCCTGTGTATGGATGTGCATGTGTGTGTGAAGCCACTAGGGGATTTTTAAAACCTTGGACACTGTTCACAGGTCACAGGTGGGAGAAGAATCTGGCCCTTTGCAGAGAACTGGACGTCAGTGTCACGTTGACAGGGAAGCCCAGCAAGACCAGCCCTGCGGTGACAGCACTGTCCGTGTCCAGGTACCACTGTTTGGTTTCTCCAGGCCTCCAGCAGAGGGCACCACAAGTTCAGAGACCTTGCCTGGGAGGCTGCCTCAGTGTGCGGACCTATAGGGTCCCATCAGTGGCAGATGAGTTGTCATGTGCAGGACTCAGAGGATCCAGGCATGAAACGCAGGGAAGGTGGCCTGTGCAGGGTCTCAGTGCTTTTAACATATATATATTCTGGTTCTCATACTCTCTTGAATATTATGACTCCATTAAATAATACCAAAAAGTATGACAGAATAAATTGTTTTCCTAATTCTGTTCCAAAGAGGGGCTTTTGTCTTGAATTCCTATACCCATGAAGCGTTTGATAGAAGGATTATGCTGAATTAACACATTCAGAAAGAATAAACAATAGAAAATGTGTTTAATGTAAAAACTTTGTATCTGACTTAACAAGTGGCAGTTGATGAGTGGTACAGTTCTGTCTACGTGAGGAACACAGGCCCTGTTCTGTCAGCATAGCTCCTGCACAGGTGGCCAGTGCCATCTGTCAAAGGAGGAGCGACAATGATGGTGAACAGGTTTCAACCAAGCTCCTGGCGTGGACGGCCTTTTTTTGAACAGGGTTGTTATAGGACTAGGCAGCTTTCTGTTCCATGTGGACAAGTGTCAGAGCTATGCTGTTATTTTATTCATCCTAATGGTGCAGGGTGCAGTTACTGCCCACTATCTTCACCTAAGAAGTGAAATGTCAAGGCAGCTTTGAGCTACACTCTTTCCTTCCCCACTGCCCTGGAATAGGTCATCCATCCCAGCTTCCATGTGGGGAATGACTCAACACTTATAGCGTCAGCTGGGTTGGGTGGGACAAGGGAATGGTTGGGAGGGGCAGTGAAAGCCCAGAACAGAACTCTGCCTGAGAACTTGAAGCCACTCTGCCCTGAGGACTGGCTATATCTCTTGGCATACAGGGAGCACTTTATGATGCAGAGGAGAACCAGGCAGAGCCTGGCTCTGCTCCTTGAGGTTTGGCCTCCTTAGATCTCCCATTAGTTCTTCTCTGGAACCTTTAGTCACAGCTCAATAGTCTTCTAAAGTCTTTTGAAACATAAGAAATATCCATGTCTCATTCCACTTCCTTTGCTTCCAAGGAGCTACGGGTGGGTATGGGTGGTGAGTCTGGACCCCCATATGCTGGACTTCCAGGTCTAACACCCTTATTTTCATTTTTCCCCCCAAGAAATCAGACCAAACTCCTGGTGGGTGATGTGAAGGGGAGAATCTTCTGCTGGTCTGTGGATGGATAGCAGACACAAGACAGTGCTGGTCCTCCCTGGGAGTCTCTGGAGACAATGGCACATAATAAAGTGCATTAGTGATATGCAATCTTGCCTGAAAAGGAAAGATCCAGATCCTTTCTTCCATTGTCCATGGGAACCAGAGCCTGCGGATCCTCCAGGTAACACCCACCTTGATTCCAGAAGGATGTGCTTGTACAAGATGAACAAGAATGTATGTTCAAGGAGGAGGGGCAGCTGGGGACAGACCCTGAAGCTGTGTTTCACACCAAATTATTCACAATTCCTGGACCTTATGAAAGGGTTTGTTAAATTGGGGGAGGAGGCGGGGGGGGGGGAGAAGACAGGACTATTTACTGTAATATTATGTTTCTTTTAATTAAATAAACTCTTTTCCAAATGTGAGGACGTTGATTGTTGGGTTTTTAAATCTTCACGATTTTCCACACAGATATTTACATCTTCACATTTATTAAGTCGGGAAGCCTCAGAGAAGTTGAGTCCACCTCTGGCTGTTTCTAGCTCCCTGCTTGGTCTCCTTCAGGAGCATTGTGAGCATGAGTGGTCATTGCCAGGGACACCAGGACACAGGACACTGCAGGAGTGGGACCTGTCTTCAGTGGAGGCAAATCAGCATGCTAGCAACCACTGTCTGTCCCACCTTTGCCCTGGCCACCTCTCTATGCCTACCTCTGTTCCCTCTGGCCTTCTGTCTATCCCACCTTGCTGGCTTTGGCTAGAGCCCACACATGCACAGAAGCCAAGGTTCCTAATCCGCATATTAACTTTGATCTGGAACTCACTCTAGGGACATCTTTATAGCGTGTGATTTTTATTTGCTATCTGCAAACAGCATGGTTGATAGAGTAGTTAGATGAGCCCAGTTGAGGAATCCTAGATAACTCTCAATGTTTACAGTTAGGTGTTGAAGATACTAATTTCAATCTTACCACCCAAATTTTTCAGAACTCCTTGAAAAGAAATTCATACGTCACTTTAGTAAAATCAAGCTCAGACAGACACATGAGGTGAGAAAGGGAAGGTGGGTTATAAGCTTTTTAGCTTCTATTCCTTCTACATTATTTAGCATACTGTACTGATACTAATACCACAAGTGAATAAATGTGAAGGACAATTGTGGAAGCTAAATGTCCAAAGCAAGTCTTGGCCACACTGAAGCCACTGTGGAACTGGCTGTCCTCTTTTCTCATGTTTGGTGCCTGCCAGCCATCTTTCACATTTCTCTGTTTGTAGTTGGATTTTCACGTAACCTGTGTTTTCCTTGCGTATCAGAATGTGTGTATTTATGCTCCTCTCTTCCTTGTGAAACTCAAAAGTAATTAGGCTGAAAACCCGCCCTATTGTGGTACAAAAATCCCTATACTTAAACAGGGCCCTGCATTTTGCAGTACAACAGTTAAGACTTCTTAACTGCTTGGGAATGCAATTCAAGTAATACAAACCCTTTACCTTTACTCCAAGTCAATGGGGTTATGAGCCCTTCTCACACATCTCCAAATCCTACAAGACCTACACATCCACTTTAGCTCAAAGTGAGAATGCTTAGAAAGTCCACTCAGTGATGTAGGGCCTTGGGTCATCTGTCCTCCAGGAGAGAGTGACTCAATTTAAGGAAAAGTGCTTTGAAAATTGAAGTGACTTGCAAACATGGCAAAAATAGTGATGGACAGTTTGGAACAAATTGGTCTCTTTAAATGTTGTGAAGTCTGCCAAGGGGACACTGGCAGGAGGAATACATCTCAGGTCTGGAGCAGCCCTCCCTGGGCAGGAAGGGCACATGTCTGACCCAGAGGCCAGGGATTGCACTGTCTCCCACACTGTCTGCTGGAGGCATTAGCAGACAGCCCATTTGCAATCCCCAGTCAATCTGCACTGCAGAAGCCGACCATAAATTTAAGAGCAGAGAGCACCACTCCCAGAAAGGCCAAGAGGCAACATCATAAATATCCAGGCTGGGCCTGCTGTCATTTTTCAAGCACAGCTCGCAGCATTTACCCAGGCTAGAAGTTGGACTGGCCAGAGGCTGTCTTGAATTCATTAAGTTCACAAGCGTTAGGTTTCCCCCATATCGAGGGGAAATGGAAATAAGCCTTGTCTTGGAGCCATGTGTCCACACAGATGTAACCTGAAGGAAGAATCTAGAGGCAGAGCAGAGAGATATCCTGGGGAAGATGTGGGAACATTTGATCAAAGAAAGTGGCCTAAGAATACAGTCTGGCAAACAGAATTGTCATGACCTTGTTGAGATGGAGGGGAGTGGTACTGGCAAAGACACGGGGCATGTTGATTTGGAGGCCAGAGAAGGAGCTACTGTTGCGATGGGTTGTGAGAGCGAATCAGGGGGCTGTCACCCCCATGAGCAATAGTCCAACTCACAGCACTTTGGGAGGATTGTTAGGAATGAGATAAAGTGCAGATATTCAGAGTTGTGATCCTGGGATTGGAAGGCAGGAATGGTGGCAGGTCTCAGAAGTCCCTCATGAATGAAGTGAGGCCAAATGGCAATGGAGACACAGAGGAATTAAAGATGATTGTGTGGAGCAGTGTGCAGCTGCTTGGGCACAACAGGTTAGCTCAAGTCTCTTGGTACCACAGAACGTGTTTGTTCAACCATCTCTAGGTGCTGCTGAGAGACGACTCTCTAGTTCTACTTAGGAAGACTCCAGAAAATAGCAGTTTTTGCCCCCTGCTGCCTACTCTGACTCCAGGGACTGGCAGCTGGTGAAGGGATTCCCCCAGTCTTTGGGGACAGGGCTCTGGAGTCCACACACTTTCTCCTGCTCAGCCAGAGATCTCACCCACCTGAGTTTCTTCCCAAGAGAACGTCATTACTGGAAGGTAAGCACCCACCTCATCATTCCAGTGAGCTGGGGCAACATAACCTCCTTCCTAACCTTGTTGAAGCCATGGTTTCCAGGGAAAGTCCTGGCTTGGTTACCTCTTCAAAGCAACACTGTTTTCCATACAACTGTCCCTGGACTGTGTGAGTTGGGTCTACACGGGGACAGGCCATCAGAGTGTCCAGAGAGGAGAGGAGGGTATCAATGCAGGGATGTGTTGCTTTTGACCAAGGAGACAGTTGTATCCATGGTGGAACCCAGCTTTGACTCTGGCTGGGCTCTTCTTCATCTGGACAAGTCTGGCTATATGGTACATTGAGACTGAAAAACTGTTGTTGTTTCTCATAGATTCAGATTCAAGTGGAAATCTTATATTGTTATTCTCTGAACTCCTTACAGACAAGAAATATGACAGTCCACCACAGCCCTACACATAGGCAGACACCCCGATGGCTGCTAAAAGGCACTGGAGTCTAAGGGTGGGTGACTGATGAGCAAGCTTGGGCTTGCTCCACTGCCCACTCTGATCCTTCCTCATTCACACTTTGAGAGAAGCTCTATCCCGGAAAAGCCACTTGTCAATCAACAGAAGTTTCCTTCTTGACACTCAGTTCAGCACCAAGAGTGAGTCCTGAGAGCCTGACCTTGGAGCCCGGAAGAATTCAGACAGTGGATTTGCCCACATTAACATGCAGCCAGAGGGCACATTCAAGGAGTATCAGACTCTTCATATGAAAATCCTCATGAAATTTGTTTAGCATAAAATCAAATCTCGCTCAGCCAAAATCAATTTGACTTTAGTAAGTTTTCAGATACATGTCACATGCTCACATTTGTGCGTGTGCGTGCATGCACATACTCACAATCGTGCTGCTCCCGTTATACTAAATGGGATACTTCAAATCCTTCTCAGTCAGCAGGACGGTCCCCCAAATTCTCTCCCTCCTCACGTTTCTGGAGACTCTTGACTGTTTTTCTGATCTGAAATCTCTGTTCTACCGTCAAATTGGTGAATAGAATGATGCTCTTTGTTCTAAGCCGTTTTCCTTAGATGAAATAGTAGGTGTCCAATTCAGCCACTCAGAGGTGAGCAAGCCTGGAACACTATGTCTGCAGTCTCTGTCAGTCACTGGGCACTGCTGCCAGGGTGCCACTGACATCACTATGGGAACTATGGGGCTTTCCATAGTCGCATCTGTCCACTCACTGTTCATCCACTCTTGCTCACTGGTACTGCTCACTGGCACTGCCAAGGATTCACTACCAGCTGTCTGAACCAGGCTGGAATATAGATGGGCATAGATGCCCAAATGTAAACCTTGAGAATCTATGACTGTCAGGGACCTACACAGCTCCTTTAACCTGGGGAAAGGTGGGGTTAGGGAAAGGAAGAAGCCAAGCAGCAGGTGAGTGGCAGGTTTAGCTAAAGACTCCACATCAGAGAATTTCATCTGTACTGCCATCTCTGCTTCATGTTTCTTCAGGCTGGGGCTTGAGTAGATGGAAATCTAGGCTGGAACCCCACCACATAGAGCCCTAGATGCCCAGGATCCCCCTGCAAGAGGGACGAAAGTTTGAGACTGTCCAAGATGTCATTTTACTTGGATCCACAATCAACACACATGGTAGCAGTAGTAGAGAAATAAAAAGACATGTTGTTCTGGAAAATCTGCTGTCTCTTTAAAATGCTAAGGAGCTAGAATGTCAGTTTAAAGACATAGGTGCACCTCCCCCAAGCCACTGTTACTTTCAATTGGTTCACATGCATGGAGAAGGTGGACAATAAGTAAGGAAGAACAGAGCACTGATGTCTATGCATTATCGTGCTGGCAAAGAGCATTGAACATACCATGGATTTCCCAAAGAACAGACAAGTCTGTCTCGGAGGACATGCAACCTTAGAGGTAAGAACAGTGCCTATATAGTCTGGATATATTGTCAGGAGGGGCCAGTAATTGGGAAAAGACATCATGCTTGAAAAAGTACAGGGTCAGCAAAAGAGGAAAACCCACAATGAGATGGATTCTGACAGGGAGCTTGAGCATGCCAATAGTGGGTTTAGGAATAGCAAAGATTGTGAAGATGATATAAAATAGGGCAAGATTTCAACCTGCTCTTCATAAGGTCGACTGTCAACCACAAAATTCA